AAACAGAAATCAAAACATCTTCACTCTGCAGTGGGAGAAGAATCCTTCCAAACACCAAAACCATCACCTGAAGAGCTATTTGTGCATAATAATGAGGGCACGCTAACTTACAGTGGGTTTTATTTTGTTTGGTTTTTTTTTGGCAAAGTGGCAATAGTCAGAAGTCTAGAGAAAGACATCCTGGTGAATGAAAGTTTTCACAGACATAGTGGTAGAATATTACTGATCTAAACAAACAAATTTCAAGGCAATGTAACACTTAACTTGAAGTTTAACTTAAAGTCTACAAGCATAATTTTGATTGAGTACATACCTGGATCAAAAACCACTATGTTTTAATTTGCTTTCAAAGCCAATATCACGTATGCATGTAAACCAAATTACAGTTTTAAAAACTGGTTCTGCAACTTTTTAAAATAAAACATTTCTCAAATAGCAATGCCAAGATTCTTGGATCTGTATGCACACTCATTTCTTCAGCAATATTCCCTTTACAGAACACAGAGACCAACCTAATTCTCAAATCATTGAGCCCTTATGAGGTTTATTTTTGGTGAAGAATTTTTGCTCATTTAAAACAGCTTTATTGGCAGATTCTGTAGTTTCTAACACAGGTTTCAAATACTTATTATTGTTTCTAAAGCTACTGAAGAAGGAATGCTCAAGAAGATCTCTGGTTGTTGGTTGTTTGTTGTGGTTTTTTTTTTTTAAAACACTCTCTTACAAAATACCAAAAAATCCTGAATGTGTTCTTTTAAAGATCATTTCTGTAGTAGCACAACCCTTGAGATATCTGAAGGAGTAGTGTATTAACTTAAATATTTTCACTCATAAACCGTGTTTGATGTTGAACTTCAAAGTTCTCTCATTTAAGGCTATTCTTCACATCCATAGCTTATTCAGAACAATACTTATGGGACCCCTACACTGTAAGATAACAAACTGCACATTTGCTACAAAATCATTATTGTGTAAAGGAAGAAAAAATATTTCTTTAAGTATAGACTTAAGAGGAATAGAATTAAACAAAAAGCCCAATGAGTACATTAGACAGATAAAAGCAAGCAAGTGTAGGTCCTTGTTAGATTCACATCTCTATTTAGGAAAACATAAGTATATATCAAATATCATTCACAGATTATCATTTTACGATTTACTAGTACAGTTCAGTGGTAGCAGTTTCACCAGTGCACCACTAACATGAGCCCCAGCAAGAACTCAAATTCCAATCTATTCATAATGCTTTGGTATGATTATCATAATGTAAGGCATTCTAACACGAATAAGTCTTTTCTCAGTAGAAATGAGACATCTTGGAGCACTTCTGATCAGAGAAGCCTATAATAACTTCAACCGGGTGTCATGATACATTAAAAATGAACTGATCTACAGAACAGCTTACGTTGCTTATTTCAAAATAGTCATTTCCTGCTCAATTAACATTCAACCCATCACTACATAATAGCTTCCAGCTATTTGAAAGCTGGTTGGATATCTAGTTTGTTTTCACATATATCTACATAGAAGTTATTCTCAGCATGCACTGGAGAGAAGACCTTCCCATTAGTGGAGCAAGCTACAAGAAGAGAACTTATTTACAACTGCGTTTTGTAGTCCATGCATAGCTCAAAATTAAGTATCACATACTTGCAAAATTATCTTCTATTCAAACTTACCTTGGCATGGTATTCTAAAGCATCCAGTTCACCTTGGTTGAATGCACATTTTCTTTTACGTTTCTGTAGAAGGAGCAAACAGGATAAGAAAAAAAAAAGGAAAACATTACTGCATAATAATAAAAAAAAAAAAAACCTCAGACATACCTAAATTCCAGTTTTAAAAGAGTTGATTTGTAAGAAACTTCCTATCTATTCCTTTCTATTAGAAGTATGAAGCCAGTAAGCAAAAATATAATCATAAAATACTTAGGCTGCTGGAGGTGGCGTGGCAAAGCTATGTTATATTATTATTCATAGCACAGGGATCTAACATTACCTAGCATATGCCACCATTCATGTTCAGGCTTCCTTTAGGTCTATACTAGAAAGTGTTTGTTCAGCTGCCAAGCGCAGTAACAGGAGAAAAACAAGTAGGTCTTCAAAGGTTAGATTTGTTAGTTTAGACCTGTAACATTTTCCAGTTGTTTGTTGTTTCAGGACTGTAATAAACAGTACTGTATGGTCTATATATTGAAAGTAAATTCAAACTGTTCTTCTTTCCATGTTAATCTGGACAACCATGACAGCTACCACAGTTTAACTCAAGCCCAATGCCACAACAAACACCAAAGGATTTCACAAGAAATCAATTGCTTTTGAGTCACAGGATGCAAGTTACTGACAGAAGAGACTTCAGAATAACATTGAGTGCTTACATTTTCCATGCATTTTGAAATCTATTGTGGAAAATCTGCTCTTCTATGTGTCTTCAGAAAGCAGAAATAGTGTTAATGGCAGGTTATTTACCTGAGGATGACCATAGCTACTACACCCTAAAGAACATACCTTCTTAGCACCAGCAACAGAATCCTTGACACCACAGTTGGATCCTTCTTGGTGTTCTGCTCTGCTGATGGCCTTCATTTCTGTGAAACTCAGATCAGGGCTTCCCTGCAACAGCTGTTCCTCAGGAGCCGCAGCTATATGCGCGTTAGAAATGTGAAAGAATTCTTCCCGAAATACATATCTTGTTCTTGCTGTTTTACCTTCTGTTTCTACAGCATCACCAGGACCATCACTTGAAGAGGTGGTAGCAAATGTAGAAGTAGGATGATCGTTAGTAGAACTGACAGAAGTACTGATGGTGACATCACCAGTGTATGCAAAGGAGTCACAGATCTCATAGCCACACTGGTTGATGAAAGACAGATGGTCCAGGAGCCACCCTGCTGTCAGCCGATGTACTACAGACATCATAGGTCCCCTCTTTAGGGAGAAAAATCAACTTCCTGAAACCGTAGCAGATAATCACACAGGCTTCCTGAAGCAAATTCCTCCTGCAGGAGTAACATACTTATTTAAGAATTACTTCTCATTACTGTTTCATAAAGTAACACCGTTTTGTGACAGACATTTCCCTGTGCCCATGGACACACCACAGAAAATTCCTGATTTACACTGGTTTCACTATTAGGACCTCTGTTTGAAACCTAACTCAGTTTTTTATGGTATGGGTTTGTTGTTATTTTTTTGCTTTGTTTTGTTTTCTCATTTATTTTTTTTTTAAATAGCTTTCTATATAATATCATGTCGCATGGAATTACTTATTCTAAGAGCCCTCTTTTTAAAAGTTAGCAATTATATACTGTAACACTCCATAACACAGGATTCAGTAGCAAAAACATAAGTATGTTTTATGTGCTCTTGAAGAAAACCATCACATTATTATGTATTTCTTGATCACATCCTAGTTTGTCACAGAAAATGAGTTGAGCAATCTGGCCTTCTATGAAGTAAACGGAGATGCGGCAATCCCAGATATGCATTGGGGCAATCCCAGGTATGTGTACAGACTGGGAGAAGAATTCATTGAGAGCAGCCCTGCAGAGGAGGAATTGGAAGCCCTGGTGGATAAAAAGATGGATGTGAGCCAGAAGCATGCTCTTGCATCCCAGAAGGCCAACTGTGTCCTGGGCTGCATCAAAAGAGGTGGCAGGCAGGGAGGGGGAGGGAACTGTCCTCCTCTACTCTGCCCCTACTCTGCCTGGAGTATAGTGTCAAAGCCTAGGTCCCCAACACAAGAAAGATGTTGAGCTGTTGGAGCAGGTCCAGAGGAGGACCACAAAGATCATCAAGGGGCTGGAGTACCTCTCTTATGAAGAAACATTGAGGAAATTGGGCTTATTCAGCTTGGAGAAGTCTCCAGGGAGACTTCATTGTAGCCTTACAGTACTTGAAGGCAGGTTATAAACAGGAGAGCAATGAACTTTTTCCATGGTTTGCTAATGATAGGGCAAGGGGGAATGTTTTAAACTAAAGGAGAGGAGATTTAGGTTAGATGTTAGGAGGAAATTCTTCACACAAAGGGCGGTGACGCACCAGACCAGAGCAAGCTGCCCAGAGAAGCTGTGGTGCCCCATTCCTGGAAGTGCTCAAGGCCAGGTTGAATGGGGTGGTGGGCAGCTGAGTGGGGTTGGCAGCCCTGCCCACGGTAGGGGGTTGGGACTGGGTGGGCTTTAAGATTTCTTCCAACACAAGCCATTCTATTTAAGAGCCTTATTATTTAAGAGCCTTATGGTCTTCCAGCCACTTAAAATGATAGAATATCTTGAGTTGGAAAGGACCCACAAAGATCATCGAGTCCTACACCCAGCTCCACACAGGACCACACAAGAATTCAAAACCTGTGTCCGAGAGCACTGTCCGAATGCTCCTTTAATTTCAGAAACTTGAGGCTGTGCCCACCGCCCTGTGGTGCAGCAGCTGTCCCTGACCCCCAGCTGCCCTCCCCTGACACAGCTCCATGCCGTTCCCTCGGGCCCCGTCGCTGTCACACACAGCAGAGCTCAGCGCTGCCCTCCGCTCCCTGTGAGGAGCTGCAGCCGCCATCAGGCCTCCTCTCAGCTCCTCTACTGAACCAACCCAGGGATCTCAGCCGCTCGTCACAGTTATTGCCCTCCTCTGGGCGCTCGCTAACAGGAGAGAAACCCGTTACAGGCAGGGAACAGCCTAGCACGATGAAGCACTCCTTGCAGGCCGCTCTCTCCCTATGCTCGCCCTGAGGAACCCTCTGCAAAGCCCCGAGACCGCGCGTCTGTCGCTCCGCACGGGGCAGATCCCCAAGCACCCCGCAGCCCAGAGGCTCTCTCGCTCTTTCACTCACCGACGCCGCTCAGCCACCGGCGAGCGCCGCCATCTTGTTGTACGGCAGCGGGTCGGACAGAGCGCGACAGGCTGAGCCGGCGGAAGCGGCGACGCCCCCAAGTCTCCCTCGGCTGCCGTCTCTGCGCTGTGACGTCGCGCTCTGGGCGCAGTGCATGACGTAACGGGCGGGCGGATTTGAAATCAGGAGGAAGGATTCGGCGCCGCTAACGGTAACGGGCGGCTTGCGGGGGGGCGGGCGGCGGTTCCCCGAGGACGGTGTTGGTGAGGCGGCCGCAGGCGCAGCTGGTAAGCGGGCTCGCGGGTAGTGGCAGAGAAAGGGATCGATGGGCGACCTGCTGGGTGCTTCGCCGGCGCGGCCTTCCTCTTCGCCGATTGCTCTGCCTCTTCTGTCACATGATTGTTGGTCTGATGTAAAACTTGTGTCTTTTCACCCCTTAGAAAGTCATCGCGTAATTCAAAAACACAAATATTCTCAGAGCCTGGGTTTCCTAATACCGGCAGACCCCGATTCACAGCTCGGTCGCAATGAGGCGAAGCTCAACCACTTCTGGGAGTAGCGGTCGGCAGTCTACGATGGTGCTGAGGGTGCAGGACAGCAACAAGATGGGTCTTCAGACGCCTCAAATGTAAGTGGTGATGGTCACATTGCTCCAACGTGTGCGCAAACCTCAGCCTCAGTGGTTTTACTGCAGTGAGTAGCATCCCCGTCCCTGGAGGTGTTCAAAGCCTGATTGGATGGGGCCATGGGCAGCCTGGTCTAGCGTTAGGTGGAATGGTTGGTGGCCCTGCGTGTGGCAGGGGGGTTGGAGATTCATGATCCTTGAGGTCCCTTCCAACCCTGGCAATTCTGTGATTCTGTGATCTGAAAAAGATGGGAGCAGTAAGAAGGAAAACCCTCTGTAGGCAAAGACTTCTGCACAAGTGCACAGAAAATAAAAATAATTAAAAAACAACAATAACAACCTGTAGCTTAACTTACCGGTTGAGTAAATATGAATTTAAAACTATAGTTCTCAAAAATACTTTTGTTGTTGTTGTTGTTAGTTGGTTTGGTGTTTTTTTGTTTGTTTGTTTTTGTCTTTTTTTCTTTTTTTTTCTTTTTTAAAGACTTTTAAATGACCGATCTGCTGTCATCTATGTGTTTATGCAGAATGGTCAGCATATAGTTTGAAATCCAGGCTGGATGTGTCTCTGGGCAGCCTGGTCTGGTGGTTGGCAAACCTGCACATAGCAGAGGGTTGAAACTAGATGATCATTGTAGCTCTTTTCAACCCAGTCCTTTTCAACACTATGATATGATTCTTTGAAATCTAAAACTTCATTTATGTGCTTGTGCCACATCTCACATTATAATGTTTTTTTCTTGCATATTTGCTAGGTGGTTGGGGAGTGGCTGGGTACTTGCTGTATAAAACATGCACTTATAAAGCTGGCAGAAATAGCTTTATTAGTGGATAAATAATGCATTAAAATCAGCTGATGTTTCTAAGATACTGCTGTCCTGAATGCGGTTAGACTTTAATGTGTTTGTACCTTTCTTATGTAAGCAAAAGATGAAATGGTAGAAATAGTCATTTGAATCCTTCTCCCTATCCCTCAGGAAGGACAGAGGAACGTTTGGAAAGCTGAGCATGAGCAAAACAACGTCTGCAACTTCAGAAAGAAAAGTCAGCTTTTTTGGGAAGAGGTATTGATAGCTTCAGATCAATGAGCTATAAGTTAAAACAATCTCATAGCATTTTACAGTTTTACTTCCTTGCTACATTTTCATTAGAGGGAAAAAGGGATCTGAGGCCCCTAGGTGTTCAGGTCTACCTTCTTACACTCTGGTCACATAAATAACAATGCTGTGGATCAGGAACTGATTAAATAGCTGTTTTTCCTCTTGGGAATGCAAGAGGAGAAACATGCACTGCAACGCTTAAGAGCTGCCCAAGACATTGGCCTGTTTAAGGAAGAACAATCCCCTTCAATTCAGACCAGGGAGATGTTTTCATTAGCAGTTATTGATAAAGCTTTCTTACAATACTAGTCTGACTTCCTACCTCTATTTTATCTTTTCAGAGAAAAAAAAATGAGGAAAAAAAAAAAGCTAGCTTAAGATTAAATCAGGTAGTAATCTTGCAAAATTGGAATCATATCAGCATTATTCTCTGCCTTACTTACTTTTTCCCTGTACAAATGAAAACCTTACAAAATCATATAATCTTAGTTGGCAGTTTTCTGTGTTTTGATATCTGCAGGTAGCTTCTTTCATTGCATTTGCAGAGTTCTGCTTTTCTTCTAAATGTTCCTTGCGTATTTTAATCTTCAGTTTCAACACCTTGCATTGTTTGTTTCTTTACCTTTGGCTTATCTTCCTTTTTTTTCTGCTCTGTGAAACTTTGTTTCAATAAACTGGAGAAGATATTCACCTATGATGTAGTAATCCGTCTGTTTTATGTGGGCATCATAACTTCTATGGCTGGATGTTGTTCTTTAATCTTTCTACTGAGAGGGTAGCCTTCAGTTTACCCCTTTGCATGACTTATGCAAAAAAAAAAAAGAACATAAAACGAGCAAATGTAAGGATTTGTATATAACCAAGAACTCTGTCTTTGTGTATTGTCACAAAAAATGTATTTATTTTATGTTCCTAGAACTAGTGGGGCTGGGGGTTCACGCAACAGTCAGTATGGTATGTTTGGTACAGAAAAGATCAAGGATCCCAGGCCACTTCATGACAAGGCATTCATCCAACAGTGTATCAAACAGCTTTGTGAGGTAACTCATTAACTTATTTTACAAAATTGTTTATTAGGCATTAGAAGTACTAATCAAAATATTTGGTTTTTGATGGTTTCAACTATAGATTTTGTTGACTAGCATGCCATTTAATATGTATGTTTCTCTTTCTCAGTTTCTTGTTGAGAATGGTTACGCCCATAATGTCACCGTAAAATCACTACAGTCTCCATCTGTAAAGGACTTTGTAAAAATCTTCACTTTTATCTATGGATTTCTCTGCCCTTCTTATGAACTGCCTGACTCAAAATTTGAAGAGGAAATTCCCCGAGTTTTCAAAGAGCTTGGGTAAGATCCTTATTAATGTATTATGCTCCTGTAAAGCCAGAAATTACAAATGTAAGGATTCTGTATGAAAACTAGGGAGAATGGTTAGACTTCTTTATTCAGGTTTGACTGAAACTTTGATGTTCTGATTGCTTTGCTTTGCTTTTGTTTAGTTTCCAGACTTGACTATACATTTTTTTCTTTGAATTTGCAGAACTAAAGACTCTTGGAAGCTTGCTTTGTAACTTAAAATCTAAGTAATTATTTCTATTAGACTTTGAAAGGCCACTTTACTAAATGAAAATTGCAGTTTTTTATCTTAACTTGTTAGCTTCCAACAGCCTCTTCTGGCTCATTCTATTTAAATCCAAGAACTAAAAAGAATTCCAGATTGTTACCTTCTGTTTGTTTCAAGTCATCATTTTTCCGTAACTTCTCTCACTTCCCATTTAAAGCAGGAAGCAGGAACAATAATGACTGCTGAGGTAAAAAATCCCGCTAAGTAGTGAGTGTTTTGTATCTAATTTTATTTGGTGCTGTAAGCATTTGGACTCATCAATGCTCTAATGCTTTCCAAGAAAGGAAAAAAACACAACCTGTTAGTTGTGCGTTTTCAGTCTTGTAGAAAAGTGAACAGTATTCTGCTTCTATAGATTTGAGCCCATTACAGTGTCAGAGCATGAGGGTTCCTTACATATATACATGTTCATTTCTCAGTATTTCAATAAAATTCTGTTTAAACCTACAATACATGAATGACCTCACTGAAATACTGAAAATGAACTTGTTCTCAAGAGGGTTTACTCTGTCCCACCAAAACTGCAATCCTTGATTTAAAAAAAAAAAAAAAAAAAAAAAAGCATTAAAGCATTTACTTTCAGATCTGACTTTAAGAAGTCTTTTGAAGTAAAAATATCCATATTCTAACTCTCATTTTTTAAAAATCCTCAAGTTAAGTGGTTTATGAGCAGTGAAACTGCTCGTCGTTATGTCTGTGGATTCTTATTCTATGTTACTAAAATAACTTGGTACAGCTGCCAGTCTAAAGATGCAATAAAAAATGCACTTCTGTTCTTTGGTTTGTAACAGGCTATCAATATATCTTTATTTAGAAGCATAGATACACGAGCCATATTTGGAATATTAATATTTCTATTTAGTTTTTCTAAAAATTGCCTATTCTATAACTGCATGACTCTAAGCTGATTGTCAACCGCTTTTCTATGTTCAGTGTGAATTTGACCCAAGAAGGAAACTTGCTCTATAAGAACAGGACTTCTGCCTCTCAGTTTCTATTGTCATGATAGAAATCTGTCACGGTTGACTATCTAGTGGAGTAAGCATCCACTGGACTATTACTGCCTCCTTTGTGTTTGCTGACTTCTTTGAATCACCTCATGCTCACAAACTACCCACTCCTTTTCCCCGATACTGCATTGCCCATCTTTCCTCGTGTAGATCATGTAGAACAAAGACAACCTGACCTGAAGTGACTTGCTACCAAGACCCAAAGCAAGGTAGAAAGTTGAGTAGGAAAGGACTAAGGAGTACACAAAGTAATAATTCACGCTTTTTTGTAAGGGCCTTAATTGTTCTTAATCTCTGCATATGCAAAAAAAAAATGCTAGTTTCCTGAATTACATAATGGGAAACCCATGATAATGGAATAAAGTCCTGTGGTATGAGAACTCTCCTTCTCTCAACATACAGTGCAAAGCACAATTGAATTTGTTCTTCCTTGTGTGACTTGATCTTAATGTAAAAACTTGCTCATTTTGCACAGCGTTTAAAAATGTTTTCTCTTGTAGGTACCCTTTTCCTTTGTCAAAAAGCTCCATGTACACGGTGGGAGCACCACACACCTGGCCTCAGATTGTGGCAGCTTTGATTTGGTTAATTGACTGTTTCAAGGTAGTATCTGAGTTCTTTAAACCAAACATTTACACATTTCAAACTGGAATTTTAGTTACAGACGTCTTAATAGTGTTTTTAAAGTTTCCTTTATTTTATATGTGAAGGAAAAGGTAGGTATTCTTACTTGCCTCTTGGGAGCTAGCTCATACTTTTAATGAATTTAAATTGAGTTTTTAATGTTATATTATGACTTCAAAAAATTTTTTTTACTGGATAAATTTGCTCTGGATAAATTTCTGTAAGAGGAAAAAAGCTGAGTGGTGCAGTTGACACACTAGAGGGATGGGATGCCATTCAGGGGGACCTGGACAGGCTTGAGAGGTGGTCCCATGCTAATCTCATGAAGTTCAACAAGGCCAAGTGCAAGGTCCTGCACCTGGGCTGGGGCAATCCCAAGCACAGATGCAGGTTGAGTGGAAAATGACCTGAGAGCAGCCCTGAGAAGAATTTGGAGTTACTGGTTGATGAAAGATTCAAAACAAGCTGGCAACAAGCGCTTTCAGCCCAAAAGGCCAACCATATCCTGTGTTGAGAATCTTGACCAGCAAGATTAATTGGAGGCCTTCATGCTTGTTCTATGTATGTACACTTATGCCTTTCAGTTGTATGCTGCCATGAGGGAAAATCCATCTTCATTTGACGATGGGCAGAACTGGGGAGGAGAAACTGATGATGGAATTGTACATAACAAGGTACTATGAAAAAGTGAATATTATCAGAACTGTTCAACTGATTTTTGCCATATTTTTGCCACTGTAAGAAAACAATCTAAAAATGATAGAATAAATTGAACTGGACTATATTTGTATATTCTGTTCAGTTTAATATTTGCAGAGTTCTCTAGGAAATACAGCATTATATAAAAAGCTTTATCAACTAGTTTCCTGAGCAGACATCCTGACCAGTTGAGGCTGGGTATTAAACTCAAATGCCGCCTTCTCCTAGTTGCTATTATTATGTTCTCCTTTGGAGAAAGGACTCTTTATGCTGTTTGTTTATAGTCTGAGTAGGATCTCAAGTATATCTCCATTTAGTACTTGAGTCTTCTACAGTTAACAGCAGTATAGTGTAAAGATTGTAAAATAAGTTATAAATGTGACTCCCATTCATATTTATTCAGTTTAAAATTGGTGTTAATATTTAATTTTTTAAGATGCATCCCAAGCAGTTAAAATTCCAGCACCTTGCTTGCTTTCTGTTTTATTATCTATTACTAGTATTATTTGAGTTTTATTGTCTCAACTCACAGCTGATGTTTTGGAAGGGGCTATATTCTGTTAGTACATTTAAGTAAAAAACAAACAAACAAAAACAAAAAAACTGAAGAAGGAAAAAAATAAAATTTGAAAGAATATGTCCAGCAAATTATTTTTGAGTAACCTTCATCTAATTGTAGAAGTAATTCTCTAAAATATTACTATCTGGAGTTCATGTTTACTTAAAAGGCATGTTAAACAGAGCTACAGTTTATATTATGTAGCTTCGGTGTATCACATGTTTCAAGACAATTACTAAATATTCTATCTACTATCTTTTATCATATCCCAGAAAGATGTATGGAGTGTCTGTAGAATTTTGTTAATTATGTAAATTCTAGATACCTTCTTCTGCCCCGATATCATCTTCTGACTTTATGTTTAATGAAATTTTTTAAAAAAAGTTACTTTTACAAAGAGAAGTACGGCCAAACCAGAGATATTTATTGTATCAGTTGTTTAATTCCATTAGTTAAGTATATTTAGGTGAGCTATTTGCAACTCTTTGAGCCTTCATGGAATCTATTGAAATTGTTCTCAGCTTTTCATGGACTACATTGTAAAGTGTTATGAGCACTTCATGAAAGGGGGAGATACTTACGAAGAATTGGATGCAGAAGTGCAGTCAAAATTAAGTAAGTTTTTGTGTTTTAATGAAGTATTTGATTTTGTTATTAGGCTATATTCTCCTAGCATTAGGTTTGCTCAGTTTTCAAGCAAAAGTGATCTCAGATAAGGAAATGTGGAATTCCCAAGTACCTCAATTGTGCTGACTTGATTCTCTTTTTATGCATTGTTAACAGTGGATGGGTCATGCTCTGCTGTCAGATGTACACGTGTAACTGTATTGTTTTCAATGGTTTTGTAATAGAAAAGCAGCTCCTGTGCGAATTCCATCTGCACAAATACTTGTCTCTGTCTGACGAAGTACTTTTAAAAAGTAAATAAATAAATAGCAACAGGCTGCTTATCTGAAGAGTAAGAAAATTCAGCTATTGTTCAGGTTGGGTATTAGGAAAACACTCGTCTCAGAGAGAGCAGTGAGGCAGTGGCACAGGCTGCCCAGGAAGAAGTGGTGGAATCACCATTCCTGGAGGCGTTGAAGAAACACAGAGATGTGACACTGAGGGACACAGTCAGTGGACATGGTGATGATGGGTTGACAGTTGGACTAGATGACTTTAGTGAGTTTTTTTCACCCTTTATAATTCTAAGAAAAATTCTGAAAGCAGTAAAAGTTCCAAACTCTGTTGTGAGGATTTCTATAGATGCTTCAGCATGCACCTGGTGTAAACACCTGAAGTGTTTAGCTTCAATGAGCTGGAAAATTTTTAATGTTTCACCACTTAAGGAAACATAAGCAGCATATAAGAACAAGCAGGGGAAAATAATTCTCACTTTCAAAGCTCTCCTATGAAAACAGACTAAGGACACAGTTGTTGCCAGCAGGATCCATCAACTGGAAAGGAGACATATATTATGAGATGGTTACCAGATATTTGTAGGAAAAAAAATTTATAGCATTGTTTGGAAAAGACTGAGGGAAGTAAGCAAAATTTCAACATGCAAGAAAGCTTGTGATGAGGAAAGGAGAATTCAAATAAGACAACTTACGAAGCTTAAACAGAGGAAACTTGTTTAACAATAACTATTCTGTTGTGTGGGTCTTATGAGACTCCAGAATCTAACATTACAGTAATTATTTTTCTTATGTGGCAGCAGAACTGTTTGTTTTGTCCAGTTTTTTGCCTATTTATTTTGTAATGATAGCTTTTAGGTAGGTTTGTTTTTGTTTTCAGATTAAAACATTAGGTTTGGTAACAGGTATTCACTGTGCTAATGGTAAGGCAATTGCTCAGATATTCTGAATAGGTGGTGGCAAACAGATGGAGATTGATTTATAACCCCATTCTTTCTTCTTTCCCACGCTAGAGGATATATTTAATGTAGATGAATTCAAAATAGAAGGCTTAGCAGCAGAAAACAAAAGACTTCATGAAGAAATTGCAAGACTAGAAAAAGAAAGGGAAAGCGAGCCGGTTAGTAAACTCTGTCCTTGTGTGTATGAGGGATTTGAATTTTCAGTTGTTGAATTTTCATCTCTTTAATGCTTTACAGTATTCTAATTAGATTTGGTTATTATAGACTCTATGCTGTTGTAATAGAATGCTTTTACCATGGAGTCACTATTTGTTTAATATTGTGTGGATATTTTTCAGATAAGATTGCACTGACTGAAATATTAATAATATACTTCAGACAGTTTATCTGAACTTCAGTGCTATCTTTTCCAAAGATGTCGGTATGAGAACCTTTCAGTGGATGAGAGCACAGGATTCAATGGTAGCAAACAATAAAAATATATCTCTGGGGAAGCATTTTGTTTCAGAAAGTGGCTTCTGTTTTTAATACAGCATGGGACAAAAGTAGTACTGTTGATGTACAGCTAGCAAACTGAAAGTTCTGTCTACTGTGCAAAATTTGTGTGTCGTATTCCCACTTTCCTCACCCTTTTGTTTTGTCTGCTTCTTGTGTATGATACTTAAGCAGTGAATTACCTGCAGTAAGAACACTTTTTGATTTGCATTAGGCATTGCATAAGTTTGAAATACTGAAATACAAGAATTAAGCTATGAACCATCTTTTCAGCCTCTTTTGCTATTCTAAAGACTAACTTGTGTCAGCTGTTACAGAGAATTTTGAACTTGGATTACTTTTTTTTTTATTTGTATATTTATACTATTGATACTGACTGTGATCTACTACCTTGTCTGGAAAGGAGGATGATTATTTTAGATTAATGCTACAGTGATTGTTCTTTGCATTCATTTACTAGGATCGTTTAGTATCACTACGAAAGCTGAGATCTTCTTTTCAAGCAGATGTTCAGAAATACCAGGCTTATTTGGCTAATCTGGAATCTCACACAAGTATCCTTGATCAGAAAATGAAAGGTGTTAATGAAGAAGTTGAGGCAGCAGGTAAGGTGGCTTTGGTCATAAATATTTAGTGAAGGCAGAAATAGGTTTTAAAAAATAGTTTTTAATTCTCAGCTTCAGGAATGACTTTGTGTGTAATAGTGCTACAAATAAACTCTAAGATTAATTGCTAATGGGGAAAATTTTTTGCAGATAACTGCTTATATTCTAGAGAAGTGAAATTTACTCATGAAAAAAATAACGGGAGGTGAGCCTGAACTGTATAGTCTGATATTTTTACATTCATTTTTACAAATGTTTTGTGAACATAGAAATGGAAGTAGAAGCAATGAAGCAGGAGAATGCACGGCTCCAGCATATCTTTGATAACCAGAAGTACTCAGTTGCGGATATTGAGAGAATAAATCATGAGAGAAATGAGTTGCAGCAAACCATTAACAAGCTAACTAAGGAACTCGAAGCAGAAGAACATCAACTGTGGAATGAAGAGCTAAAATATGCTAGAAATAAAGAGGCGGTATGTGAAAACCCTACCCCAATAAGAGATGGCTATCAGTATTCATGATGTGTCTTTAAGCTTGGGACTTGAGCATTACTAACTTTTTCTAAATGATTTAACAACAACATAGGTGTATCTTAATAGACTACAGTGACAAGAATGGCTCAAATATGTACCACTGTAAGCTCTGACTCCTACAGCATCGAGAGCTTCAATAACATTAGACTGAAATAGATATGTTGGGACTTTAGAGCAAAGCTGTAATGCAAAACTAGTGCTTTGAGTTAATATCTGCATGTGTTTAGGGACAGATTGGTACCTTACATGTAAATTATAAGAAGAATTTAAGAGACACTTACATAGTATTAAGAGATGTGGCCCTGTAGGTGGTGGGATTTAAAAACTGCTGCTCTGCTAGACATTTGAAATAAATAAAAACACATTTATTTCTCTCTTTTTCATTTAGCAGAGTTGTGCTTTCTCCTGTACTTGGTATTAAATTCCTCATACCATGTAAATATAAGCACGTATCAAGCAATATTTTTCTAGTTATATTTGCATATAGATGGTTCTTGTGTCAGAAAATAGAGCACTTAATAAGCTATGTCTAGAGCTACGCTCAAGTTCAAGTATGTTATTAGAATATGTGACTATGTGATACTTCCTGCCAAAACCAACGAGAAAAGACACATCAAGATGATGACTAATTATTGTTTTGGCAATTTGTACTATTTGTAAGCACATTCATTCTCCTCCACTGTCAATTAATCCTCAAAACACTGATGCAGGAAATAATATAGCAGGAGGGAAAACCACAGGAGGAAACCATTTAGTCTTACCCATATACTTTAAGAAATCTTGCAGAGTAAGCTCTGAAAGAATCAGGAAACATCCATTACTGTGGAACATACAGAGCAACTCAGAAATCTATTTGAAGTACTATATGAATACTTTTTGCAAAGCTTTTCAGTTGAATTTTTTCCATGATTGTTGCCCTTTTAATCTCTGAACAGATTGAAACACAACTGGCAGAGTATCATAAACTGGCTCGAAAGCTGAAATTAATTCCAATAAGTGCTGAGAATTCTAAAGGGCATGACTTCGAGATTCATTTTAATCCCGAGGCAGGACCAAATTGCCTAGTCAAATACAGAACTCAGATTAAGGTAAGTAAAATCAACACTGAGTGTCTATAACCACTCTTAGTGTTTTTTGGGAATGTTGGGAAAATCCTCATTAAACTTCATTGAGAACTTTTGTGATTGTTGTAATTACGTTTATGGTAAAGGAAGAAAATTTGGTATTGGTGGGTACAGCAGCCTAAGTTTAAAAAAAAAAAAAAAAGTGTAGAAGAAAAAAAACTTAGTTTAAACTGACGAACTGCATTAGTTAGATTTTTTTTCTATGTGTATAACAGGCTCCTCTTATGGAGATTGTAAACCAAACTGAGGAAGAAATTAGGAAAGCTGTTCAACGGAAAATGAGTTTGGAGGATACTTTGGAACAGGTATGTTTTTTGGTTAAAGAAGGTTATTACTAAGATTCTGTAATGTTATCTGCTGGACTCATCTGACCTTTTTACACAGGCTATTTGTGTGGGTTTTTTGGAGGGGGAAGTTGTGAGAAGATTGCTTTAATTGTGTTGGAATGTAAAAGCTTTTCTGTGAATTAAGATCTCCTTCTGTTGGATGAAATAATGTATATTCCCAGCACTGAAGACTATGCAGTTACATATATTTGATGATAAACACTGGAAAGACTTGTTTAATAAGTTGTCTATTACAATCAGTGGATTACCACTGGTAAGAAGTAATTGGGGAAACTTTTAGCAATATTGGGTTCAGGATGGATTGGAAGAATTTCACATCATATAGCACGCTGACATAAACGTTTCCATGTAAATAGCTTAGAGTGCACAAAAAAAAAAAGAAAAAAATCCTACCACCTGTTATCAGAAAATGTTAAATGGTCTAATTTTTGTGCTGAACTTAATATAGGGATTCTCAAAAACCCAGTATTTTTCTTTTTTTTTTTTTATTTAGACGAAGTCAGTATGTTTAGGTTGAAATTAACCTGAAGTTTGAAGTACTGAAATACATTAGTACTTTCCTAAACCATAAATAACTTGCACTGAAAACTTAAAGCTGTATATTCAAAACCCACAGTTCTAGAACTTTCATTTCTAGTACAAGATCTTTTACACATAGTGCAAAAAACTTCTTATTGGCATTGTGTGCACAAGAAATAGTGTAAGCCTCCTCCCCCCCCCCCATAGGCAGACCAATGCACTGCCAGTCTCTGAACAGCTGCTACCTTGGAAGCTTAAAAAAGATGAAATTGTTCTTCTACCTCAGTTTTTCTTACAAAGCATTACAGCATATAGTATGGAATACTCTTTTGGCCAGTCATGGTCAGCTGTCATGGCTGTGTGCCTTCCCAAACTCATACCTACCCCCTACAAAACAAAACACTATACAGCCTGCTATGATGAAAGCTAATGCCACCTTGGCCAGACCCAGATTAACAAAGTGTTTCAGGGCTACCATGTTGTCTGTGATGGCATGGAGTTACAGGTAGGAATTCCTTTTGAATTATATCTTAAGTCACATTTTCATTTCAGGTGAATGCAATGGTAGCGGAGAAGAAAAGCAGTGTGAAAACACTGAAAGAAGAAGCAGAAAAGCTGGATGATCTTTACCATCAGAAGCTTAAGGTAGAACTTTTTTATATTTTAATAACAGTTTATTGTGGATAACATTATCCTTAACGCTTGTATTTATATGTAAGAATTTGTTTTGCTTGTTTGCTTGAAACTTTGCCCTCAGCTCTTGCAGAAAATGGAATGTTCTCTTATTCTTTTCAGAAGTATTCGAGTGCTATCTTAAGAGTCGGCTTCCACTTTCTCTTAATATAATCTGGTATCATACTTTCTCAGAGCCTGTAAATCAAACTACTACAACCAGTCATAAAAGTAGCCATGTCCATCTCCTGACTTCAGGATGTCTCAATGCATGTGTTTTAAACAGATTCTACAGTATCTGTCATGTTTATGCCTTGTATGTAATAAATACACTTACAGTTTGTAATAAACCTGTTACTACGTTTAAAAATTGAGGAAAGCATTATTTAACTAATAGCATATAAAATACATAATTGATGTAAAGTTGTTTACATCTTTCTTCCTCTAGGAAGTTCTTCCACTCAGCAGTTAGACTGCTTAGATAGATTGATTTTAAATGAAAGCCTTCAAAAATACCTGAAATTTACCTTTTGATCTAAGTAATTGCATACATCTTTTTCTGAAGACAAGTTCATAAAATACTCAGTAGCAATTAGATATTTAAAATAGAATATAGTCATTAATTTCTCCTGTAATTTTTCAAGTAATATGCATAAGACTTTATTATTGCACAATTATTTTTTTAAGGTTTCAGTAATTCATCAGAATTAAGTGTTTAATGATGGTGGAATTGATTTCATCTTGCTGAATATACTGTTATCAATGATATTCACCTTGAATAGATCACAGAATGGCTTAGGTTGAAAGGGATCTTAAACTCACATCCAGTTCTGACCCTCTGAAATGAGCAGGGCTGCTACTGATTAGATCAAGCTGCTCAGGCCCTATCCAGCCTGGCCTCGAATGCTGCCAAGGGATGGGGCATCTAAAACTTTTCTGGGCAGCTTTTTCCAGAATCTCATCACACTCCAAGTAAAGAACTTCCTTCAAACATTGAACCTAAATCTCCCCTCTTGTATGTTAAAACCATTCCCCCTTGTCCTGTCACTATCAGTTCATGTAAAAAGTCAGTTCCCCTCCTGCTTATAAGCTCCCTTTCAAGTACCAGAAGGCCACAATGAAGTCTCCCTGGAGTCTTTGCTTTTGCAAGCTAAACAAGCCAAGCTCCCTCAAACTTTCTTCATAAGAGAGGTGCTCCCTGTATTTTGATCATCTTTGTGGCCCTTCTCTAGTCCTGCTCCAACACCTCAGGTAGATGATAGCTCCAATAGATGATTGCTTGCATTTTCTTAACGCATTTCAAAATCAAAAGTGAAGTCTTTTCTTTTTTTAGTCAAATCCATTTTGTTGTTTCTGACGTTTCATTTATAAACTACTTAGAAAGTCTGTAAGTAATCTCTTTTTAGATTAATTTTGAGGGAAAGATAGCTTAACACACTGACCTAGAAATATTAAAATATTATTAGAGAAATAAGGGAAGGTTAGGTTGGTTTTGACTAGAGGAAAATGGAGGGGAAAAAAAAAAAAACAAAAAAAACACTTGAAACTTGAGAAAACTTCAAAGTTGAACTGGGGTGGGAAGAGGTAATCTTCTATTGTGGTTCCCCATTGTTTGTTTTTCTGGGGTAAGTTTGAGTTCTGTGTGTGGAGTTGCTTGTGTGGTAAATTCCTAATTCAAGTACTGGGATGAATAACATCTAGGGGAAAAAAATAAAACACTGTTTCTTTCCTAAGATGTGATCTGTTATGTGATATTTTGTTTTCTCCCTGGCATTTACAGGAAGCAGAAGAAGAGGAGCAAAAATGTGCAAATGAGCTGGAATTGTTAGAGAAGCATAAACAATTACTTGAGAGTGGTGTCAATGAGGGTCTCAGTGAAGCCACAAATGAACTGCATGATATTCAGAGACAGTAAGATCCATAATTTCTGTTTGTGTGAATTTTTTTGGGGGGGAGAGGGAGATCATTGGATAAAGACACTTCCTCAAGTCCTAATATAAAATTCTTCGAGTGCATATACATTCTGTATGTTAATTTCACAAATTTACAGTTGAAGTGTTTGTTTTCAACACTTGGTTTAGCAAGACTGTTTGTCTACTGTATCAGTACTTCTGTTCTTTTGTGTACTTTGTTTTTTCTCCATATAATGGAGCCAGGCTATTTTCAGTGGTGCCACGTGCCAGGATAAGAGGCAGTGGGCACAAACTGTAGCAGAGGCGGCTTGCTTTTTTTCTCGGTACCAGGAAGTATTTCTTTGATGTCTACATGATGGAGCACTGGCACACATTGTGCAGAGAAGTTGTGCTCAATGAAATAGCTGTAACTTAAGTTGGCACAGCACTGCACTGCACCTTCCCTGTGTCCTGGTTTCAGCCTAGACAGTGCCACACCAAACATAACACACCAATGTTTGGTTGTTGCTGAGAAACAGGAGTATGCCTGGGCCCAGACCAGGCTGCTTGGCAGGGCAGAACCTCCACCACGATGACACAGGGCAGAGGTGGTTGCATTATGAGATCTGCAAGGCCACATGTGGGCTGCACGTTGGATATGCCTGCTCAAAGATCCAGGCAAGTTAGCACAGTATGGTCCTTTTTTCTTCTAGGTCAGATGTATAAAAAACATGTTAAAAAAATCTAACCTGGTTTACATTAATACTGATAGGAAAAATGATGGCTAAAGATAACGATATATGTAACTTGGTAAAGAAGTTATTGTAGATGTCAGGAAGTTTAGAATTACAAGCTTGACTTTCAGAATGTATTTTTCAGATACCAAATTGTTATGCAAACAACAACAGAAGAGAGCAGGAAAGCAGGTGATAACTTGAATCGTCTCTTAGAAGTGATTACTACTCATGTAGTATCTATAGAGGTAAGATGAATACCCAGAATTAAATCTTTCTAGAGATATTTACAATTGCAATTAAGGGCATGGATATAAGAACTTACCCTGTCCGGTAAAGTATCTGTTAGTTAAATGTGGTCAACAGATCTATGTTCAAATAGTAGGCTGGTCATGGGTGGTGTGCCACAGGGGTCAGCCTTCGGATCAGTGCTCTTTAATGTCTTTATTAATGACATAGTGATATTGATTATAGAGTAGACCCTCAGCAAGTTTGTTGATCACACTAAGCTGAGTGGTGCAACTAATACAATAGAAGAAAAGGATGTGATCCAGAGGCATCTGGACAGGCTTGGGGTGCAGAACTGTGGGAACCTAATGAGATTCATCAAGGCGAAGTGAAAGATACTGCACTTGAGTCGGTGCCGTGCCAGATGTGTGTACAGACCTGGGAGAAGAACTCATTGAGAGCAGCCCTGTGGAGAAAGGCTTTGGGAGTCCTGGTGAATGAAAAGCTGGGCATGAGCCAGCAGTGTGTTCTTGCAGCCTGGAAGGCCAACTGTATCCTGGACTGCATTTAATAAAATAAAATTAGAAAAAAGCAGTAACCAGTTGGGCGATGGGGATGCTGTCCTCCTTTACTCACTTTGTAAGGGAGTACTTCATCCAGGCCTGGGGCCCCAGCACAATAAAGATGTGGAGCTGCTGGAGCAGGTCTACAGGAGGGGTG